TGAGAATATATGTGAGGAAGTCGCCACATAATCCTGTATATCACTTTACCCCATTAAAGAGTTGCGTTCGCCGCTTTTGTCTCACTAAGTTAAACGGATGACTCGTTAACTAAAACTCACTTTGCGCTGTCACTTCTCAAATAAGGAAGTTAGCCGTAAATGGGCCAGCTCATTTAGTTTTTCACGCCGACCTACTTGAGATGTTTTCTTTTAATTGCATTTCGCGGTTAACAATGAATGGAATGAAATTATTCTAATTTGTAAGCTATACTAGCTGACACAGCAAACGTTTATTGCCATATAAATTAAAATTGCTATTAAAATACAGAGGTTGATAGAAGTGTGAAAAATTTTGGGTTGTATCTATTTTGTAATGCCATATTATTTATATATTTTTTTATAATTTATAATTATAAAAAAATATCCAAATAATAAAAAAAAATGTTAGAGGGGGAAAACCCTTATATATACATACTTAGAGGTATTTTAATGCCAAATAATAAAAAAATATGTTAGGGGCCACAACCCTTATTACTTAGAGGTATGAAAAATAGATAGTAGCCGATTCTCAGACCTACTGGATGTTGTTTCATAAAAATCGGTATACCCGTTTCGGAGGAGTATGGTAACTAACATTGTGACACGAGAATATTATATATACAATTATCGACATCCGCAAAGTATCGAACCCGCAACTATAAAAAATAAGTTGGTGTGCCAAACCGCTAAACCACCGAGGTCATCACAACGTATATTAGGTAGAAATTTAGACCAACATAAAAACAGAAAACAGTTTGTTCTTTGTCACTGGCTACGAGTCTTAACTTGTACAAACATCTGAAAGTCATTCGACTGCAAAGTGTAAGCCCAAAACTCGAGTTCAACTTGAAAAATAAGAACTTCATTAACTTGGAAATATTCCAAAGAAATAAGTAATGTTATTCACTGTGTTGTTACCTCTTGGTACTAAGGAAGTGCAAATAAGTTGTACTACCATTCTAAATACTTGAATCGGAACAGACCCAAAAAATAATACCATTTTCTTGTTCACTAGTGTTTTATTAATTTTACAAAATAACGTATTCTTAACACGACAGATTCTGGTATCAAACTTATGTAATTAATATTATTTGAATTTCGAATATTTAAAAGATAAAAGGAATTAAATAAAAGTAAAATATAGCCATTTAAATTTCGAATTTCGAATCTTTATATAAATACAAAGTAAAATATTGTTAGAAGACCATGAAGCTTTTATATTCATAACTGACCAATAATGAAAAAGAAAAAGGAATTAAATAAAAGTAAAATATAGCCATTTAAATTTCGAATTTCGAATCTTTACGTAATACAAAGTAAAATATTGTTAGAAGACCATGAAGCTTTTATATTCATAACTGACCAATAATGAAAAAGAAAAAGGAATTAAATAAAAAGTAAAATATAGCTATTTAAATTTCGAAATTCGAATCTTTACATAAATCTAAAGTAAAATATTGTTAGAATACCATGACGGTTTCATATTTATATTTGACCAATACTAATATTTTAAGCGAGAGAGCGAATTTTGTTTTGTTTTATGTTATTCTAATGGGAAATAGACTAATGACCAACCAGTAGACTAAATATGTACCTATTGAGGTTTTATGAACAATTCTTTTTTCTATGTCATTTTTTGAAAAGAGAGAATGTCGTATTTTCATGTTTCATTATATATTTAGAAATTTTGCAATAAACTATTTTATTCTGTTCAAATTTTATGTTAGTTTTTTCCTTTCCTAAAACGAGCCGTCTATAGTACCATTTATCACATGTCATATTTATATTTAATCAACAGCCTAAAAAATAAGTTTCAAGTTTCTAAGGCAGAATTTGATCACCATTAGAGAAGGTCGTAACTGTAGTCATGTTTCCGCACTGAATATTTGTGGTCTCACACATGCTAAGTGCAGCGGAATTAAACAAAATAATATAAACCTATTACGTAGAAAATCTGGCGTTACTCAGAATCATCTTGGCCTAATTATCATTAAAATAGCTGTTTGTCTAATTTTTCAAAGGTTAATCTTTCCTTCAAAATAAGACGAGACTGATATTTTCATGGAACAATTAGCATTAATTCTTTGTAATCTATAAGTATCTCTATTTACAAAGCTATTTTTAACCGGCACCAAATGAAAACAGAATAGAATAGAAAATCCTTTATTTAAATAAACTTAATTTAAGCACTTTTGAATAGTCATAGTTGTTTTTAATCTACCGCTCATTCGGAATGGTGTCTCATTACAAGAAGAACAGTTGCTCTATTAAATAATCGTTGTAACTTTACATTTTTAAGTCGAAACGTGTGAATAAAAACTGCCAACTTGCACTTATTTATTAGGATCAAATATTAAATACACAATAAGATTAAATCAGTCTTAGTAACATAAATGCCTATTGCGGATATGAGGAACTCGTACACTATTTTTAACGGCCTCGGTTGTCTAACGGTTTAACACACCGCCTTCCTTCCGATGGTCGCGGGTTCGATTCCTCGCACGGCACAAATTTGTATTCATGAATACGATTGAATGTGTCTGGATCTTTTCTATGTATAATATGTATGTATTTGCGAAAAAAAAATCTATGTATTTGTATCAGTTGTATGGGTTCTAGACCCATGACACAAGCTTTATCTAGCTTAACTTGGGTCTAGATGGCGCTGTGTGAATTGTCCTGAAATTATTATATTATATTATTAAAATTATTATATTAAATATTTATAGTTTATTACTCTATGTTTGTTACTCTTTCACGCAAAAACCACTGAACGGATTACTGAACTTTATCCATAATAATGTGAAAGACCCTATGTGTCTGTATTTGGTTAAAAAATAATTAATCTATCTACAAATCTGAAGACACGATCTAAATGAAATAGGCAGACATTGTCAAGATTGAAATTGAAAATTGCAAATCAATTAATTGAAAAAGAATCCGCGCTGCCTAACAGGTATTTCTATACAGATCTGAAAACTCCACGAACGGAGATCGCCTGCTGGGTTTTTTTTGTATTTTCCATTTTCACAAATCGTATTTCCTACCGTTTTAAATGCTATATACGAGTAAAACTACGTATAGACGATTCAGTTGTATATATTCAAATCTTTAATTTTGACCAATATAGTTTGAGATAATAAGTGTGTTATGTTAAAAATAATTTTATTTGACAGCCTCTGTGGTTTAGCGGTATCACACACCGCTTTACTTTCGATGGTCGCGGGTTCGATTCCTCGCACGGTGCAAACATTTGTATTCATGAGTATGATTGTTTGTATCTGTCTGGCTATTATCTATATATATTACAAGCTACTCGCCCCGGCTTCGCACGTAAATATATTATATATATATATAAATCATCCTCTTGAATCACTCTATCTATTAAAAAAAAAACGGTCCAAAATCCGATACATAGGGACCGACAGACAGCGAGAGCGACTTTGTTTTATACTGTGTAATGATGTATATATTTACAAAACTTTGCTAGCTTAACTTGGTTCTAGATGGCGCTTTGTGAATTGTCCTGAGATTATTATATTAATTATTTTATTTAAACCTCTTTAGAGAATTGTGTAAAAATTAAGGTACTTGCCTAGTTGATAATTATTTATTTGCTCAATTATTTCTTTACTAATTAATCGGGCACACATCAAGTGTTACATTTACACTAGATCTATATAGAATATAATTTGTGTAATAAGTTTAAAGTTGCATTTTCGCTTGTGTATTTGTCTTCTCTATAGACTCGTATGTATGTAGGCATTTCTTTTTTTCTCTCTTTTTTTGTGTATAATTACTCATTACATATTGATAGATTTTTATACTTTACCCACGCTATTTAATATTTGATACATCAAAAAGTTTTATTGTTTAATGTGTTTATATGGAGGGGATGGGATCCTCATATATAGGAGGTAATCTTCATCCTCTGCTACTTTTTTGAACTATGCCATGGAACTCTTACATGTATATATCTTCTTCTTCTTTCTTCTTTCAGCATATATTTGTCCACTGCTGGACGTATGCCTCTTGCATAATTTTCCACTTCAGTCTGTCTGTGGCGTGTCTTGTCCAGGTCGGTCCTGCCGTCTTCCTGATATCATCAGACCATCTGGCAGTTGGTCTGCCTACGCTTCTGCTTCCCATATATTATATGCTTATATATATATATATATATATATATATATATATATATATATATATATATATGTATGTAGATAACAGGGAGGGCTAATATTAGAGGTGCGGTTTGGAGTTTCATGGCACAGTTCTCAATTTAATATTCTATATTCACGAATGCAGGGGAAGCATTTTAAAATGTTTCTAAAAATACACAAAGTTTTGAATGATGAGTTAAAATTACAACCACTTCGTAAATTTATTAGTATGTTTTGGTATCGTACGGCGATATTTTATTATTTACTGTAATCGTACAACGGTTTCGATAGCCTAGCGGTTTAGTTTAGGAAGTTACTTCCGATGGTCACAGATTCGATTCCTCACATGGTACAAACATTTCATGAGTATGATTGTCGGTCTGGGTGTTTTTATGTATATTACATATATATATTTACATAAGTAATTATATCAGTTGTCTAGTTCCCATAAAATAAGCTCTACTTACCTTAGAACTAGATGGCGTTGTATGAATTATCCATGAATATTATTATTATAAATATCAAAATCAAGATAAAATAATTTATTCATTTAGGATATCTGTCGGCGTTAACTATTTTGTTACTATCTTAATCGTCCAGTTCGGCAAGGTATCTCAGATAAAAAACAAAAAACTGATTGTGTATTTTTTTAAATCAGTCAGAAAAATAAAAAATAAATTAACAGGTAAATTTAATTTATTTTTCAAATTTGAACTTACGACCTTTCAGTCTAAAGTAAATCAGGCAACAACATGTGCGAATAGTGAACGGTTGAATAAATTTAATATTTCTTTTCAACAGGACGTCCTCAACCAACTTTAACCTGGTTGATCAACAACAAACCAATTGATGACCACACGGTCCTGAAGAATGATGGCAAGGTCATCATCAGTCGGATCAGCGTGGGAGGCGCTGAAAGGAGCTGGTTGAACACCAGTATAAGATGCCAAGCCACAAATACTCCATTATTAAGTCCTCATGAAAGAACTGCCAGGGTCGAGATGAGATGTAAGTACTTCTATATAACCCTCGATAGTTTAGAGTAAACCTCTAAGCACGTGGGTTTACTTCCGATAATTGCAGGTTCGCAAGCCCCAAACATTTATATTCATGACTATGATAGTTTGTATCGGTCTATGTATTTTCTATGTTTATTATGTATTTCAGCTGTTTAGTACCCATAACACAAGCTCTACTTAGCTTAGGATTAGATATCATAGGAATTGAAAATTATAGTCAAGAGTTATTTTTGCTATGACAAGCAAATGTTTTATTATTGTTAGACCTACAAACGCTATCAGTACCTCAAAATATCTATTCTAGTAGAAATAGAAATAATATTTATTCAAATAAACTTAATACCTAAGCCCTTTTGAAGAGTCCTACATATTTTTTTATATTTTACTTCCAATTCGGAAAGCAGACTCATCACAAGAAGAACGAGCAGGAAATTTGCAAGTTGCTCTTTTAGATCAATGTTTTCACTGCCAACTAATGCCCATACCAAACTGGGCTCAAGCGCACCTATTTCTTAACTCTATAGTTATTCTCTATGGTTTGTCCTTTTACTACTTTTCTTTTTTTGGAGCAGTATACATCAATACGCTCAAGGGCTCTTCTTTTTGACTGTATATTTATTCTTTATTCGTTGTCCCTTGTTTATTTTTTCCTGGTTTTGGAGCAGTGGACAGGAAAACACAGCTACAGTGGCTTTTAAGAGGACAGGGGAATGCTAGCTGTTAAAGGGATTGTTAATAATGTGAACTAACTACTCCATCGCCAGGCAACCAAGTCAGGTTTACTACCACGCGATCCTCCCTGGAAACTATCATGACAAATTCCTGGTGAAATTGTTACTTCCCCCGGGAAGCGATCCAGATAAATTCCTGGTAAATTGGTCATGATGGGCAGACTGAGCTGACCTTATGCTCATCCTATCATCCTCCATTAGTGTCCTGCGTTAACCATCAGCGTAGGCGGGTGGATGATTCCAAATTCAAATCATGGTTTAAAAAGAAAAAAATGCTAGCTGTAAGCGTAGACGTGTGCGCAATTCCAAATTTAAATCATGCGTTAAAAAAAAGCTGGCTGTATCATTACATAGTATAAAAAAGTCACTGTCGCTCTGTGTATGTCCCTATGTATGCTTAAATCTTTAAAACTACGCAACGAATTTTAAAGAGGTTTCTTTTAATAGTTAGAGTGATTCAAGAAGAAGGTTTATATACATATATATAATATATGTACACCCTTGCGAAGCCGGGGCGAGTTGTTAATGTAATATAAATAACAGAAAACCTTTTTGTTGTACAGTGCGACCTACATCTGTTATGATCACTAATAAGCCAGTACAGATGTCAGCCGACACAGAAACAGTGCTGGTCTGCGTGTCGCACGGCAGCAGACCACCAGCGCAAATTACATGGTACAGGGAGAACAGGAAATACACTAGAGGAAAGGTAAATAACCATAGTTTACTAGCTGTCCCAGCAAACTTTGCGTTGCCATATAAATTTAAGTACTAATATCGCTATTAAAAATTAGGGGTTGGTGATAGAAGGGTGAAAATTTAGGGTACATAAATTTAGGTACAAAAAAAAAAGTTAGGGGTGGACTAACCTTATCACTTATGGGTATGAAATATATGTAGATAGTAGCCGATTCCCAGACTTACTGAATATGCATATAAAATAGCATAAAAATCGGTCAAGCCGTTTCGGAGGAGTATATAAATTTAAGATACTTATTTGATTAATTTGTAAATTCGCGCGAATTTACAAATTACCACCACTACCACAATCAAACTCCTATCAAATTCACACAGGGATCGAAATTACAATGGCCTGAGCCGAGTTTCCCACCCCTAGCGGTGCCCTCAGCCTAATATCTTAACCGTAAGGCGTAAGGAGTTAGGCTTCAGTCACTACATAAGTCCTTAGAGTTTAGAGTGCTATCTGCACTCGTGCCCTATCGTCCCCTGAAGCTATAAAGGCCGTCTGCGGATTACGGCATTAGAAAAGTTGGAAAAAAAATGATCTTACTGAGATGCTGGGTGGCTGAAATTAGTGAGATGAAGAACTTTGTACTTACTCTAACTTGATGGATTTGATGAATACTAATCATAAATACTAACACTGATGATAAGCGGCCTACCTTGAGGCTCCGGGTTTTGCATGGCCCATTTTTCTACGTGAAAAGTATATGATGCTAACGATTATGCTGAAATTTTCCGCTAATTCAAGAAAACTAGGCGTTATTTTACATTTTTTTTTATTTGTATATTATAGTTTTGGTAATCTTGTTCATTTGCTATTATATGCCTAAATCGAAACGTTTTAGCAACTTGCCATTAGGTAAGGTGCCACTCACTGGTTGTTGCTTTGGTTGTTACGCAAGGCCCCTGCAAGAGGGAAGACCCGGGCGATCGCCTTGTTTGCCACCCCCTAAGACCGCCACTGCTGATGATGTTAAATATATATATATATATATATATATATAATATAATAGTAGTAGTTTTATATAATATTGTTTCAAATTGGCGCTTTTTTTATTAGCATAATGAATACACAAATGAGACGACTACTGTAAGCCGTCTAACAATGCTGCCGCAGCCAGAAGACGATGGCGCGGTCATCCGATGTCGAGCTGACAACCCGGTTCTGAGCGTCGCTCTAGAAGACTCTTTTAGAATGACAGTTGTTTGTAAGTCTATTTTGACAGCGTAACAGTTTCATATTAATAATTTCTCTATTGACACAATGGTCGCGGGTTCAATTCCTCGCACGGTACAAACATTTGTAATTGTATAATTGTTTGTATCAGTTTGGGTGTTTTCTATGTATATTACGTATGTATTAACAAAAAAAGTATCAATCTATTTGTATCAGTTGTCTAGCCCACAACACATGCTCTGCTTAACTTGGGGCTAGATGGCGCTGTATGAAATGCTCCAACGATATTTATAAATTTTATTTAGTGATCCGAAACAGGAAATTCGATTTAACTCTATAATTTATTTTAACTAGTTGTCGCCCAAATGTTGACATTGGAATGTAATTAGTTTAAATTTTCTGTTTGAACATTATTAAACTCTTATAGTAGTCAAGAACTCGCGTGTGTGTGTCAAATATATGATGGTATATATTTTTTTATTAATTCATATACTCTATAGAAAGATATTCGTTTTCTACATCATTTTACCATATCAACTAAAACTTCACACACTTCCACGTAATTTTCGTAACATTTTTTTTTAATTCTTGTATTAATATATAATTAATTAAATAAGCTACTCATCAATTGATTGAAAATTAGTATTCTTTTAATGCATATATCAGAAGAATTAATCGAAACGATTGTTTTCATCAATAAGGCCGAGTAATTGTCAATATATTTGTTCTTTAATTATTTATTTTTCTTCACTGCATATTACAAATAAAGTATATTCTACCTATCTATCCTATTTCCCAAACGAATTTCAATCGTAACCACCGTTTAATAATACCCATTTTCCTACAGACAGACCTGTGTTAGCGATGTCACTGGGAAGTACACTGAACCCCAACGATATAAAAGAAGGGGATGATGTCTACTTCGAATGCAACATCCGAGCCAACCCGAAGGAGCACAGGATCTCGTGGTACCATAACGTGAGTGAGTCACGGAACCTTGCTATATTTGTTACCGTTTTTGTAAAGTCAAGACTAATAAAACCGTATGCGACAGCAGGGATGTCAATTGTATGACAATCCATGCGAAATTATTGGACCCAGAGCCAAAATTCTCACATTGTTACAAGAATTCTCACTTGTAATAATGCGAGATTTTTGAACCTAGGGCCAAAATTCTCACTTTGTTATAAGGATTTTCAAGGATTAGCCGAGGAGATTTTTATTCTCATACAAGATTGTACTTGATTTTATTGTATCAATAGAGCTAATATGATGTCTTATGTAATAAAAAAAATCTTATACTATATCGTATGAGATTTTTTATTTCTCCGTACAAAGTGTTTTAAGGTTGGCAACCCTTTTTTTATGGTGTGGAAAAATATTCTAAATCCCATCCTAGTATTGGCGAGGCTAGAGAAGTGACGAGGTTATGTGTAGGATTCTTACCCACTGAAAACACACACGGTATACCTACGAGCGCCATTGCCGGAGTCGCAAGGTCACCGGCGGCCTCCGGCGGCATGATTGGCAACCCTGTTTTATAGTCACTTGCAATAACATGTATATTTGTAAAGGACAAATAAGAGATGTCGAACACTATGATATAATCATCAGCGGTAAATATAGAGCTATACTGCAATGAATGAAATCACGAATTCTAATTGAAATTCAAAAATCATTTATTCATGTAGGACATTTTAGCCGCTTATGAATGTAAATTTTTTTTATATTATAATTTTTACCTAACGTCCAGTTCAGTATACAGATTCAATTTAGAAGACATTGAAGAAAAATACATTGTAAATAAACTGGCTTTAAAAAAAAATGTAATTCAATTGAGTTTCTTGCCAGTTCTTCTCAATTGGATCTATATACCGAACTGGACGGTAGGGAAAAAATAAAATTATAATGTAAAAATTTGACGTTCATAAGCGGCTAAAATGTCCTACATGAATAAATGATTTTTGAATTTGAATTTGAATTAGAACTTGAAGAACTGGCAAGAAACTCAATTAAATGTCTACTAACATTAAATAAAAATCTCGTCCGTTAACAACTATTGCCAAGCACTGTAACTAATGCAAGTAATGTTATCAACATATACTCTGAGATATTTCGTATCGTGAACTTTAATTATACTTGCAGTATTATACTTAAATAGTACTTTAATTATAATACTTTTTTAGATTTAAATTATGCAGTATATTTAAGTTCACCCTTAAATTATGTAATTCAAGTAAGTGAACATTTTTAGGATGTCCAAGTAAGTCAGAACATGTCATCAGGAGTGTTCATCAGCACCAAGTCCTTAGTACTCCAAAGAGTGACCAGAGGGGACGGTGGACTGTACACCTGCAGAGCTGCCAACCAAATGGGCGAGTCGAGCAGCCAAGCTGTTTATCTCAGAGTGCAATGTGAGAATTATTATTACTATTATCATTTCTTTTGTTTGAAATATATTATTATAGAATCGTAATATCTCAGAATGAAATGTGAGAATTTTTATTATTATTTTTTTTAATGTGTATTAGAACATCATAAGGCGAAAACTGTCTGTATGTTTATCTGATTATATTTTTTAATTAGGCGTCTAATCCACACTATTTAATACGGGTAATCAGTTGCTGAGATTTGTGGATGTAGTTGGTAATATTTTCATTGTTATGATGTATTACCGGGTGGTCTAGCGGTTTAGCACACCGCTTCATTTAATGGTCGCGGGTTCGATTCCGCTTTGCAAATATTTTGTATTCATTACTATAATTGTATCGGTCAGGGTATCTTCTATATATGTATTTACTTCTGTAAGTATTTCTATCTGTTGTCTAGTACACAAGCTCTGTTTAGTTCCGGGTTAACATTATTATTACTCTGATTGTATGTTAAGGTTTTATATAAAAACACCTGGTTACATTAGAATTAATCTTTTACAAAATATGTTGATAAACCTGAATCAACATATATGCTACAGAAATCTGAAAATAATAAATAAGAAAACAGAGAAAAAAAATAGCAGAGGTTACTGCTACGTACTGAAAACTAAAGGTTGTTGAGTGGTAAGTTGTGGTATTTATTCACGACCTAAATTATGCTGCTGACCCGTAAACCATGATGTTTTCCATGCCAGATACACCGGTATGCGCGCAGCCATCGCCAGTTCTGATTGGGGCACGTCTGGACGAGCCTCTGAGGGTCCGGTGCACGGTGAGCGCGGACCCTGCAGACGTTTCCTTCTACTGGCAGTTTAACAACAGTGGCGAAAGCTTCCAGGTCTCACCTGCCAGATATGGTTGGTTTTTTTTAAGTTCTCTCTTATAAGTATGCTAATAGTATAAAGAAGAGTTGATTGTTTAAATAATAATAATTGCCTATTATATTTGTTAATAACTTTACAAATAAAGACAGAGAAACATTTATAAACAACTTATAAGAGTGTTTGTTTGTTTGCATTGAATAGGATTCGAAAATACTGGACCCATTAAATAAATAATTTTTTTCATTAAATTATTTAAGAATCCTGCTTTATGAAATAAAAAAAAAATACAAATAATTAATTAAAATAATAATGTCTAAACTTTCTTCATATTGTAATGAGAGGGCAGTCGTCGTACGGTGTGTAACTAAGAAAACAGAGAAACTTTATTTCCATTACAAAATATCAAGTCACGTGGTCATAGATACGACTTTTTGTTTCTCAGACCCGAAAAACCGTATGAATCTAGTTTTGGAAAAGTTTGGTCGGTTTCGATTGTATAACATATTTCACGGTCTCAGTGGTCTAGTGGCCCAGTAGCGCACTGCTTTATTTCCGATGGTTGCGGGTTCGATTCCTTGCACTGTGCAACAGTTGTATTTATGAGTATGATTTTATCTGTCTAGGTATCTTCTATGTTTATTATGTATAAATTTACAAAAAAATAATTAAATATATGTATCAGATGACTAGTACACACAAGCTCAGCTTAGCTTGGTACTAGATGGCTGTATGTATGAATTGTTCAGCGTTCATATTATTATAAACTAAATATATATAACTCAAAGGTGATTGACTGACATAGTGATCTATCAACGCACAGCCCAAACCACTGGACGGATCGGGCAGAAATTTAGCATGCAGGTAGATGTTATGACGTAGGCATCCGCTAAGAAAGGATTTTGATTAATTCTACCCCCAAGGAGATAAAATAGGGGATGAAAGTTTGTATGAAATTTTGTCAATTTTAAACCGATCGGGCTGAGACTTTGCATACATAAAGCTACTATGACGTAGGCATCCTCCAAGAAAGGATTCTAATAAATTCCACCCCTTCGGGGATAAATTAACGCGAGCAAAGCCGCGTGCAAAAGCTAGTCATGTATAAAGTATATTGCAAATTAACTTCTAACTTCAACTTTACCATTCAAAATGGTAAAGTTAGAAATGGTCACGTGGCCACCGCTGCCACCGCCACGCTTTGTGCCGGCAAACGTAATTACAAATTCAATATTTGTTTCCAGTCCACGTTCAATTAATAGCTAGTTTTTCCTTTTCAATTCCAATGAATCGTGGAAAAGAAGTATTTATTTAGCGTTAGCTATTAAAATACTAAATGTTGCCTGCGATTTCGTCGACTTCATTACATAGTATAAAACAAAGTCGCTGTCGCTGTCTGTCCGTCCCTATGTATGCATAAATCTTTAAAACTACGCCACGGATTTTGAAGTGGTTTATTTTAATAGATAGAGTGATTCAAGAGGAAGGTTTATAGGTATAATACACATAATGTACACCCGTGCGAAGCTGGGGCGAGTAACTAGTTATTGATGTAAAGTACAGATATAGCCTATTTCTGTATGAATGTACGGATATAGCCTATGTGATGTTACTGATTTTAAACAAACTAATTTTAAGTAAATGTCGTTTTACTAAAGTTAGTAATTCGTTTTATGGTAATTTTGTGGCGTTTTACTTCCGATGATCGCCGGTTCGATTCCTCGTACGGTTTAAAAATTGTATTCACAAGTATGTTTATTTGTATTTTTATGTATGTTATTTATGTATATACATATATATGTATCTATATTTAATAAAAATATCTGCCGCTTTCTTTGTGGCGACTTCCTTTTGGCCTATTTTGTATGTGTTTATAAAAAAATGTATTTAAGTATTTATAACAGTTCTCTAGTACTCATAACACAAGCTCTACTGAGCTTGGGACTAACTTCCGATAGCCGGTTTCCTCGTACAGTTCCAAAATTTGTATTCATAACTATAATTGTTTGTATTGGTCTGTGTGTTGAAAAAAGTATGTTATATTTATAAAAAAAAAGTGGATTTAAATATTTATAACAGAATTTAAATAATTAAAGAATTTATTTAAACCAAAAACAAAGTTATAACAGTAACATGTTAAACGTAAACAACTACATTAGTTTATGAAAACTGTGTTGCAGTTATTTGCACCTATCTCCAGAGTATTGTATACAATTTATATATAACAGTTGTGTAGTACCGCTACAGCAAGCTGTGTTTAGCTTAAGACAAGAGACTGTATTAATTTTTCAGAGATATTATTTTATTATTATGTTAAGTTGTGTTTGTAGGTAACTCTTTGCTTTTTGATAGGAAGTCCCTAATTTCCATATATCAGCATACGATATCGTATAATATATTATTTGAAAAGATATAAAGTTTTTTCTTAGAATTTCATACTCTTTGAAGTATCTTATTTTATGCATGGTGAACCCAACTTGCTTCTCTCCCGTGAGAGTAAAACAAATTCCAGTTACAGTCGTACAAAGTTCGACAGCTCGTTTCATGTGACTTTTGATGTAGTAACACTAGTTGTCACCCGCGACTCAGTCCGCGTGAAATTTAACTTGTTTTTTACTATTAAATTAAATGAAAGTAGCCTAAGTTACTCGTTATGACATTAGCTGTCTGCGAGTGAAAGTCCCGTCAAAATCTGTCTAACCATTTCAGAGATTAACAAAACAAATAGACAGTATTTTTTTAATTACTTTTTTTTATGTCAGTATCGTATATATTTTCAAATGCATTGTATTTAAAATTATAAACAGACTCTGCAATTTTATTTATTTGTATAATATAGATGATTAAGATTGAGTAGTGTTAGCTGAAGTTACGAATATGTAATCTTAATGCTGTGATGAATCGCTTTTGTATTAGTTTTGTTATTTCAACATTTTTCTGTTTCTACTTTTTGTTCAAATAACTTTATTAGCTGAATATAATTTATAACACAATTGTGATACAGAAATTGAAAAATAAATAATCTTTATTTAAGTAAACTTAATAAAACCACTTTTGAATAGTCATATTTTTTTTATTCTACGCATTTGGAACGCAGACTCATCACAAGAAGAACGAACAAGAAACTAGTGTGTTACTATTATGAATAACTTTGTTTAACGACACATTAACAAGGAGGTATGGGACAATCAACATAGAAATTAGATCAGATAATACTGTCAGCTCTATTGATTTGTTGACATAAATATAAACAAATCAAATCAAAGGAACTAAATCTTTAAATTTGACAGTGTCAACAGGAGGCACAGCTAGTGAACTGCGGTACCGCGCCGCTAGCGAGAGAGACTACGGCGCGTTGTTATGCCGCGCTACAAATGCAGTTGGCAGGCAGAAGAGGCCGTGTGTGTTCCAAATTGTTCCTGCAGGTGTGTATATAGCTTTAGAATAGAATAATATCATTACAAAACACACCACGATACAACAATAACAATTCTCATAGCAAACAAATAAACAGAAATTATCAGTAAATTTATAAATTAATACTAGCTGTCCCGGCAAACGTTGTTTTGCCATATAAATTAATAACGCTATAAAATATTTTTTTTGGGGTTGATGATAGAAGGGAGAAAATTTAGGATTGTATGTATTTTTGTATGTTGTATCATAAAAAAATAGAAAATAAAAATTTTGTGTAAAAAATAAAAAAAGTAAATTTTAGGGTTGGACTACCCCTAGGGGGATGAAAAATAGATGTTGCCGAATCTCAGACCGACTCAATACGCTCACAAAATTTCATGAGAATCGTCGAATCGTCGAATCTTTTCGAAGGAGTATAGGACCGAAAATTAAATTTAATTCTTCATGCAATACCGCTCTCTTTGTGGTGACATTCCGAAGGTAAAAAAAGGGTAGATGATAGGATGGCTTCTATCTCCCTTTTTTATATGAGGGTGTGTGGGATTCAGTAAGACACCTCGGCGCGGCGTTCCTACACACCGGCTGTGTGGGTGCGCTAGCATCCGTTCGCACATTATCCTGCCACCCTAACCACAAAAAATAGCTTTTTTTTTATTTTTTTATATATATAGATAAACACTAAAGAAACTTATTTTAAATTTAGTATATATATAGTAATTTAATAACAACATGTAAAATTGTAATGGGTGAAAATTTAGATGAAAATGACAACACCTATCACAATAATGAAAAGGCTCGTAATAAAAACACAAACACACGCAACTCACACACGCACAAGAGCGCACTGACACACACGCACACACGCACACACACACACGCACACACGCACACGCGCACACTCACGTACACACACACACGCACACGCACACACGAACACGCATACACACACACGCACACACACACACGCACACACACTTGTCAGTTCTTCTCATCGCACACACGAACACGCACACACGACATCACGAGCACACACACACACAACATACACACACACGCACAATACACACACACTGTCCACTGAATTTAGATGTACACACACACGCACACACACACACGCGCACACACACACACACACACGTACACACACACACACACACACACACACACACGCACACACACACATACACTAAACTTACACGATTACTGACCAAGGTTTAAGTGTGGTATACACAAAGTAAAAAAAACCAACAAAAGCTGTAAAAATGAGCCAATAATGACAGTACTGGTACTGACGTGTGTGTAAATACTAATGTACCCAGTTTTTATAGTCTACTTCTTTAGTGTAAAAAGTCCTATTGTGTAACCGTTAGCGTTGAATAGGCATTTGCGATTGCATAGTTAATCGTTCAGCCGTATTACCATTGATCACCAGAATGCTGCTATTAATCAAGGCATTTGCTAGTTCCGAATACAAACAAACAGATACTTGCAGTACTATTTAACATTGTTCTCCATGGACGCATGAATGCTTTCAATTTCATGGCGTATGTTAAGGACTGTTAATCAATAAACCACATTTGATAACGGCCTGTTTTACCGGATGACTTATTTTGCAATTCGGATAAAATTGGTGCATCATTATTCTAGCTGTGCCTGCGACTTCATGTAGAATGTATCTTAAATTTGATATTGGATAGCATTTTATTTTTTTAAGGGTAAAATTTTTACAAACTTCTATTGTTATATGTATTTATATTGAATGAGGTTTCTTTCAGTTTTCGGACACTTTACGCTAGTTTTTAGTGTTTTGGTCAGTTTTAGCAAGTTAACATATTAAAAGTTACTGAAATAAGAATTCTATGATATGTCAGTAAGGTCGAAAGCGAAAAATAAAAGAGATCACAGACTCTTATGATAATAATCTAATAATAAAATCTACCGTCAGTTCGAAGTGCTTCCGGGAGAAGAACTCACAGGAAACTAACCTCTTATTCTTTTAAAAGGAACATGCACATGTCTACACAGATCCATTCTTAAACTCAAATTTAGAAGAAATGAGTGACCAGTTTGATAAGATATACTTAGAGTCATTATCTTTTTTATTCCGAACGTCAAAAAAGAATAATATAAAAGACTGGAGTCCAGCAATCATAAGTAGAACATTGGTTCATTATTGAAGGATCTAGTTACAATGGTCATTTACACGGGACACGTTCAGAGCGAGTCGTAAAACGCTTAGGCGTAAAATGCGTAAATTACTAATTTTATTGTTATTCCTGAGAAAATTTCCCGTTTCTTCGTAATTTCCGATCTGTTTCAGGAGTTCCGCAAGTGACTTTGGCAATTATTATAATTGTATGAAGCATTTTATTTTTTTATCATCATCATCTGCTTCTTCCTTATTCCATTCATTTGGGGTCGGTATAATATGTTTTAGTCTTCCATTCATCCCTGTTCGCAATCATTTCTCTATTTCCTTTCATGCCATATTATCAAATATTTACCATATATGATAATACGACAAGAATTCAAGAATAGATTCCCTATCTATAGATGAAAATTTTGTGGGTCAATTTATCTTTTTAACTAATTCTTCGATAATGAAAACATTAATGACCAAATTTATCAGACAGTATCATGTTAAAATGGAATATTCACGATAAAAAATAAACTTCAATACTAGACCTAAAGACAAACTGCTTAGGAACAGCAAGATCGTTTAGAAAAAACCACTGGGTCTTTTATAATCTTTTATAATAAGGTAATTCCATCATATATTTATTAAAGGATATGATAGAATTACCTTTAAATAAATTTTAAACATCTGGTAAATGATATTTATTGAGCAAATCCTATTTATTACTCACTAAATGATTACATAAATGACTAGTAGTTGAGCATGGGATTTTCATTTAATATTAGACATAGACACCTATATAAGGATACAATGTATATAAACTGGCATTTAAAAAAAAAACTTTAGTTGCCTTTCTTGACAATTCTTCTCAATTGAATCTCTATACTGGAGGGTAGGTAAAAACAGTAATATAAAAAAAACTTGACGTTCATGAGCGACTAAAATGTCCTACATGAATAAATGATTTTTCATTTTGCTTTTGAAAGTATAGTTACGATGTTAAGTGTTAAGAGATTGCTTTTAACGATATAAAGGTCTATAATTCGTTTTTTCCTTAATTTTATTGTAGCCTTTAATTAGATTTTTCCTTAATTAATTGTTTTTACCTTAAAGATCATTTCCATCCAAAGTATTTTTTATTACGCATTAAATATTTATATTATTAAATCGAATTTTATTTTAATTTTTGCAGTTCATGGAACGTTAGTCAGTACTTTCTCATTGATCGGATATTTAATATTTACAATAATAGACAACAATTCAAAGAACGCCATCCAATTCCAAACTAAGTATAGTTTAAATTAATTTAAATGACTAAATAGTTACTTAATAACAAAAACAAAAGTGACAGCGAAAGTACAGATAACAAAACAATATAAAATTTACGATTAAGTGACATCATGTTTATATAGAATCGAAACGGGGAACGACTAACAGCATCCAACTGTGTTTTATAGTGATTTAAATTTATCAAAAGATAATTCGAGAATATTCTTTAACTTTCTCTTCCCAATTAGTAGCTTAAAAATAAATTATCTGCCAACACCATCGCCTGAACGCGACGCGGGACCATAACTCAGGATTCATCAGATATCGAGTTCAAGATCAGATACCGATGCGAACGTCTAAATCAGTGTGTAATTTAATAATTTACCGATTTAATTAAAACATTCCACGATACGAATGGTGACCGTTAATATACGAGGTAAGTTGGGAGTTCAATATGGAAATGGTAACGAGAAAACTTGCCGTGAAACTTCGCCATTTCGTTTCTGATCCGCTGAAATTTTTAGGTCACACTTTAGGTTGCGGTATGTGTTGGTATCGACTTGGTTTAGATATTTTAAATTCGAGTAGTTAGAATCTTGTTTAATCTTTTTTTGGAGTTGCTAGTTGCCTGATTGAAATCGGTAATCGTTAGTTAATCAGTGGGATTTGAAAGTTATATCTGTTTTAGTAGTTAACGTTAACCTTAATATGTTACAGCTATATTGTATTTACTCACTGTCAAGCGAGTATATGCGTATATGCAAGTATGTACCTTTACTTTGTCATATAAATTAATATTGATTTTAAAAAGTAAGTGTTGGTGGTAGGTGGGTGGAAATTTAGAGTTGTATGTATTTTAATGCACCATTATAAAAAAAAATGTTAGGGGTGGACAGCCCTTATCACTTAGGAGTATGATAATAGATGAATGATGACTGAATATGCATATAAAATTTCATAAAAATCTGTCAAGACGTTTCGGAAGAGTATGGGAACTAACACTGTGACACGAGAATTTTATATATGAGATATTTATATAGCAGTATGAATGTATCTGCAGAATACCAACGTCAATTGCGTTTATAAGATTTTTACTATTATTGTTTAATATATATATGTTAAAAAAAATATTTTCTTCCTCCGCCCACCACTTCACTTCCGATGGTCGCGGGTTCGATTCACGGTGCAAACATTTGTATTATATCCGGGCTCTATGTGAAACACGTGTCTCAGTACGACTGTAAATGAATATTTGTGGTCTCAAACATATTAAACGAAATAATTTAAATCCATTGAATAAATGAAATGGACTACCGCAAAATAAACACCTCATTCGATTAAATATTGTTTTGCAGGGGCGGATCCTGAATTTGTGGGGCATTGGGCTGAATCTACTTGGGGCCTACCTTATATTACTCAACTAAAAAACTAACACCGACCAAAAACAAGCGACCAGAAATTCCCCGTTCCTCTATATAGACGCTCACTAGCATGGGTTGATTGATCTCAGGGTTGCCAACCTTATGATAGGTTTTTTAACATTCTAGATATTTTTTATATGGTAAAAATCGTTTCAGTGGGGTCTGGGGGCCCTGGGCTGTAGCACGAAAAGCCCTTAAGTAGATCCGCCCCTGTTGTTTTGAGTTGTTGATTATATGTTTAAAGAGACCAGCAAAAAGCTAACCTATGTATATAAATTAACGACTTCCATTGTCGCAGTTAGTTGATTGTAAAGGTTGATTATAAAATCAATCACTTGAATGTCTAAAGTTCAACACCGTGAGACTGTGTGGCCTATTATTTTTTAAGTAGAAAACATGTAGCCAGTCTAAAGTTGTTTCAACAATCTTTGCAGAAAAACAGTTTATAAAAGTTAATACTGTAATTATTATAACTTCTAGGTAATTTCGTATTTTTTTAAAGGATGATAATGGAATGGTGCATCTACCTGCGCTAACGGTTTACGCTGGCGGGGCACCAGTGGAGGATGATAGGATGAACATGAAGTCAGATCAGATAGCCCATCGTGACAAATTCACCGGGAATGTATCACGATGGTTTCCAGGGGGAACCGCGTGGAGGTCGATCTGATATGGTACATTGCTAGTAATGGGGTCATTAATCCACATTACTAACAATCCCCTACCCCGGTAACTTCGTGTAAGTTAGGTCTATAGTTGACATCGTTATAAAATACTAGACTGACCAGCGTAACTTCGTTTGCATCATACTTGATATTTATCATTATATTTCACCCCATTTACATAATATGTTTTTTAAATTATAACCTATTTCTTATTCTGATGTATAAACTATAGTATATAGTTGCATCAAAATCTATTCAGTAGTTTTTCTGTGAAAGAGTAACAAACATCCATCCATACTGACAAACTTTCGCGTTTAGATTATTAGTAAAATAGGAAATATATTTAAAATTCCTCTGTAATATATTTCCTTATTAATTAATTTTTAATTATTATTTTGTTTTAATTATTTTGTTTTGTTAAAATGTAAGTCAGACTTTTCTTGAGAAAATCGTATTGTGTACTTATGTAAATTGTTTTTTATTTGTTAATTAAATCAAGGCTAGGCATTAGGGCAGTGTTCCTCAAAGTGTACACATTTATATACAGTGATCATACATTGATATGCCACAAGAACAACGAAGATGTAGAGATCAATCTTGCAGAGATCAATAAAGATTGCTACAAAATTTCACCCCTAGGCAATGTAATTTTCGAGGCACATTCTCTTTTCGTTTAAAGTGGTAGCTCCATGCTATTTTTCAATTACATATTTGCGTCGATTTTGATAGAATCTATCTTAACGACAAATTTCACAAAATTTTGGTCAGATATTCAGTCGTAAAGATCATAAAGGGACAGACATATTTTGGTATTTATAATATTAAGTAGCTGACCCCGTAAACGTTGTTTTGCCGTATAAATAAAGGTAGAGGCGATGGTAGAAGGTAAAAAATTTGGCTTTGTACGTATTTTTTAATGCCACATAATATAAAAATAAATAAATTGTCAAAAACGGGAAAAAAAAGGTTTGGAGTGAGTTATCCTTAATGCTTAGGGGCATAAAAATTAGTTATATACCTATTCTCAGATCTACTGAATATACATATAAATTTTATCATAATCGGTCAAGCCGTTTCGGAGGAGTAGAAACACAAAACTTGTGACACGAGAATTTTATATATTAGACTAGCTACTGGTCCCGGCTTCGTACGGGTGTACGTGTATTATACATATATACCTTCCTCTTGAATTCCTGTCCATTAAAAAAACAACTTAAAAATCCGTTGTGTAGTTTTAAAGATTTAAGCATACATAGGGACGGACAGACAGCGACAGCGACTTTATTTTATACTATGTAATGAAGATCTAATAAAAGAATACATACAGTTATATAAACGGTATAATCATGTACTACACATGAGAAAAGAAGTTGATCTTTTAAAATCAGAGATGGTGTTGTATATGTTCTTGATTTAGTACTGTCGTTAGTACAAATGTACGCGAGTACGAATGCCCTGGCACCACTAGTACTATTAATGTACCAATTTATTTTCTTGTCACTTCTCCTCAACTGAAGCAGGTAGCTGAACTGGACGGTAGAGTTAAAAATGGCAATTAAGATTGACGGTGGCTATAAGTGGCTAAAAGTGTCCTATTTGAATAAAAGTTTTTAATTTTGAGTAGAAGCGTGTCAGTTAGTAAGACTAAAGAGTGTTTAGTGTCTTTTATTTATAGTTAGTAACCTGCCCTGATTTTGCTCAGGAGATCATAACTTTTGGGAGTTTTATATAGCTTTTTGGAGTATACCTTTCAAATAGTGACAGATTTTCTCAATTTGATGCAGTGCACTTGAAGTTCATTTTCTACATAAAAAATTTATATATTTATATTATCAATTAATATCTCGTTATACCTATGTATATATTTTTCTGTAAAATAATAGTAATAATAATTTATTTATTTCAGATTTTTTGCCCATTTTGTTAATATTAAGGTTTTACTCAAATGTGTAAATTGTAAGAATATGTAAAATGTGTAAGAAGAACAAAAATAATCATAAACAAACTGACTCTCTACTTGACGCACACTTATAGTTTATATAGAGAAGGAATGCAGAATGCTATGATTTTTCAAAATTATACATAAAATACATTTAATCAATAAAAACAACATTACACACGCTACCGTGCATTTCACACGCATATACATTATACATATATACTCTTTTGTTTATTGTTAAGGTCTGTAGTAAAATTGAGAATAGATTAATATAGTTTATATTAAATATTATATGTCTATAGTTTCACTGAATGCTATATTAGTTATGGAATTTCGACCACTGGATAACCACCAGTTAGTATTATTATTCCTTACTAGCTGTTCCCGCGACTTCGAATTCGAATTTGACTTAATTTTTCTAAAATGAAAGATTTATTCTAAAATAAAAGTAGTCTAACTTACTCCTTATTACATCAGCTACCAGCCAAAAAAATCCAGTCAAAATCGGTCCAGCCATTTCAGAGATTAGCCGGAATAGACAGACAGACAAAAATTATAAGAAATATTATTTTGGAGTACGTACCGTATTTATATTCATATGCATGTAGTAAAAAACGGTTATTTCAATATTACAAATAGTTTTTTTTTATATGTATAGATTACATTGAGATATTCGCCATGTACCTATCATACCAACCTTATTATTATTCTTTTTTATATATATACCTTTGATGGGGTGATATATTTGTCAATGCGGGTGAAAATCACCAAACAATGACAACTATAAAAGAAATGATTATGATAAAGGTTTTTTAAACAGAACATAAAAATTTGTTCCGTTTAAAAAACATATTACTATTATTATATGTTATCGCCACATACCAACCATATGCTATATTTTGTATCCAGCTCGACCTTCGTCACCGAGGAACTGTACAGCAAACAGGATATTGAAGCATGGTGAAGCGTACCTGACAGTCAGGTGTATAGCTGGATACGACGGCGGCCTTCTCCAGCACTTCACGCTTGATGCTCTGAGTGACACCAGCAGAGTGCTGGTCAATACCACTGCAGTTTCATTAGGTAAGGTTACAGACCATTTAATGTAGGTACATGTGAAAGTCTCGGTGGTCTAAGGATTTAGCATATATTATGATAATCTGTGTTTAAATTATGTTTTTTTTTTAATTGGTGATAATGGAATGGTGCACCCGTCTGTGCTAACGGTGTACGTTGGCGGGGCGCCAGTGGAGGATGATAGGATGAGCATGATGTCAGGTTAGTTAGCCCATTATGACAAATTGATTAGAAATGTATCATGATTGTTTCCAGGGGGAACCGCGTGGAGGTCAACATGACGTGGTACGTTGCTAGCAATGGGGTCATTAGTTCAAATTACTAACTATCTGTTGGACTGGGGTTTTCCATGAAACGAAATGAAATGAAATTTTATTGCATAAAATGTGGTACATTGGGTGTGGCATATGTATACAATACTCATGTATTATCGAACCCGCGACTATTGGAAGTAAGGTGACCTGCCAAACTACTAGACAACCTTGACCATCATTCTAATCATTTATATTAAGTATTACTAACAATCCGCTGAAATTTAATTGAGCCATTCAAGGCTCCAGGAATTGGTCCTTCGAGCCGGATGCTATTTAAATCAATGAATTATTCTCGTAACAGATTTAGTGGTATGGCTGAATATAAGCTGGTCAGATTTAGAGACGTTGACAGAAGAGGAGGTCCTGGCTGTGACCGCTCGCAACAGTAAAGGTGCTTCCGAGCCTGTACTGCTAAGGGACCTGGTGTTCAGGGACGCTGCCAAGAGAACTGGTGAGATATCAGATAAATCTTGGGCTTTTTAATTAATGAAATTTGTACAATGTAGCCTGTGTTAGCGATATGCTGGAGGATGGACCAATGGATGATTATAGACTGAACTTGTTAAGTCAACTGCGCATTGTGTAAATTTTCCAAGATGGTTTCGTATCGAGTGGAGTCGAACTGATATTGAACATTGCTAAGAACACACAGATTCCATCATCAATATCAGACCACTGTAGTCCACTGCTGGATATATCTTACTGTTGATATGACACGACTCCAAATTTGCTATTAATTTGCTTGATGACAAAATTGGCGTCATGTCGCATCAACATTCTGATGTATAAGTCATATTGTTGTAAAGTTGCATTAAAATCCATTCAGTAGTTTTTGCGTAAAAGTGACTATTCATCCATTAGTAGGATTCATATATAATGTGTTTGATTCTAAAATGTTAATTTCAACAGAGAGTACCACTCACGCTAGTAGCAATTTTCCTGCTGCGGCTGCATTGGCGGCATTAGCCGCCCTGCTCACAGCTGTCGCGGCGATAATTGCACTGACATTACGCAGGTAATTACCAGTATTACTGATGATGACCGATTAAAAGCTTTCAAGAACAAGATTAGACGTAACTGTCTCAGATTCAGAACGTAATTATGAATCCTGGAATACGTAAACACCAACCAATCGTAATAATTGTCTTCGTGTTCGTGTTGGTACACACCAAGGAAGACTGTACAAAGGTGACCTCAATGGTTAAGCAGTTCCGCTTTACTGTCGATGCTCGAGGTTTCGAGTCCACGCACGGTACAAACATTTGTTTTCAGAAGTATGATTATATGAGTATGTATCGATTTGGGTGTTTTCTACGGATATAATGTAAGGTCCAAAAAATTGTATCTATGTATATCTATGTATCCGTTGCCTAATACCAATAACATAAGCTCTGCTTACCTTAGATCTAGGTGTAATTCGAATTGGCCAGATTTATTATAGTATTAATATATTTATATATTTACTAACTGACCAATGCAAACTTCAATTTCAAACTTCGTTTCCGTCAAACTTTCCGCGTTTATGGAAGATTTCTAATTGCAGCTTCGCTGTTACGCGTTGTGAATAAATAGTATTTATCGTATTAAGTTATTAATATTAGTCATAGTGTTAATAGTACTTCGAGTAGCCTATTTTCTTTTCCTAAGATTATACCAAATAATATGTAGAAAATGGGCTACTCGAAGTACTATTAAAGTAAGCAATAAATATTACATTAAAGGACAATTAAGTTACATTATTTCTTACATCTTTGTTGCCTTTCGTCTGACAGACGTAACGACAATGCAACGAGTAGTAAGCGACCCTCGCAGAGCGTGGTGCAGGTGGATGCTCAAGGCCGAAGGTACCTGATTGCGTACCCAGCGCCAGCTGATAAGCTGGAAAGTAAACCAGATATACTGAACCCGAAGTCTGGTAAGTTCTTCGTTTATTCCTATAATAATTATGTTGATTGAAAGGCTTTCTTTTTAGCTATTGTAATGCCGCAACCGGACTTTACAGCTTTATTAGACATATAGGGGCAAGAGTATAGGGTACACCAAATCTACAGAAGGACTTATGGAGCGGCTGAAGGCCAACTCCTGCCTGACAGATACGATTTCAGTCTGAGGGCACCACTAGGAGTTCAAACCAATTGTAATTTTGATCTAAATTAAGTTCTGGAATAGAAAAATAAAAAGCCTGAAGGCCAACTCGTGCCTGACGGATACCACGTTAGTTTGAGGATATCGCTAGGAGTTCTATTCAAGGCCGTTGTAATTTTTATTTATGTAGTAGATAAATAAGAAGACTTAAGGCCAACTCTTGCCTGACTGATATGACTTTAGTCTGAGGACACCACTAGGGGTTGAACCAAGAGAAGAAAGAAGAGAAGAAGAAAGAAATGACTTTTGAATGCATTGAATGAAATGACATTTCTCCTGGTTTTAATGTATAATGTTATTGTCCAGACAATGAACCTCCTCGCGTGGTGTTAGAATCAAGTGATAACAAGAACTACACCATCAGGGAGGCAGGGAAAGACGCACAGAAGTCGGCGTACAGCCCGCCGCTTACTGAAGACGAAATGGTATGTTTGTCTATGCTATATTTTAACCGGATTAAGAAAAGGTGGTTCTTAGTGCAACGGTATTTGTTATAAACTTTTCCTCTTTATAATATTCATCATCATCATCATCATCGCAGCCCGGAAGACGTCCACTGCTGGACATAGGCCTCCCCCAAAGATCTCCACGACGATCGGTCCTGCGCTGCTCGCATCCAATGCCTTCCCGCGATCTTGACCAGATCGTCGGTCCACCTTTCTGGAGGCCTTCCCACGCTGCGTCTTCCGGTCTTTATAATATTAGTTTAGATGAATTAAAACAAATTTTTGGAAGTGGATTTATGAAATTACTTGTTGTACCTATCACCCCTAGGTTTCACCCGCGTGAAACTTATAGTCTATTTTTTATTCTGATGTATAAGCTATATTTATTGTAAAGTTTCATTAATATCCATTCAGTGGTTTTTGCGTAAAAGAGTAACAAACATCCATCCTTCGATACTCAGAAAGTTTTCGTTTATAATGTTCGTAAGATTTTACATAAATTTAGACTCCTTTGGTTACATTACATAGTTATTAATTTCGTAATATAAATGAAGGTTGAATATTCGATGTCTGAACAAAACTTTTTTCTGTTCTAGATGCCACAAAGATAGCAAAGGGACGGAATTTTCAGCGCCGTGTAAATATTACGAATGCTAATTGTAAATCCAAAGAATGCCAACAATATTGTTGTAAGAGTAATAGGTACTAATGAATTCTTCCATATCAATTTAATATGATGTTTATGATTGTCTCAATAAGGCTGTATTTCCTATTGAACGTTGCGTTTCACGTGTACTATTGAAATGATTTTGTTAATTTCCAAATTTGTTTCGGAATTCAATGAATTTATCTCAAAGATTCGCCTTAATGATATAATCTAAATGAAAGGTTTATGTTTAGATAATTATTATGTATATGATATTTTAATGTAAATTGTGATTATTAAATAAACGTTGATTCTGAAATTGTACTTTATTTGTGTTTGAAGAGGAGTTAAAAGTTGTCGTTATTTGAATAAAACAAGTTTTTAAAGAATGCAAATTATATCTTGTCATTATTTTTATTATAAAAAAAAACTTGTTTCATTTATAAATATATTGTTACCAAAATTATAATTAGGTACCATAAAGATAAGAGGTTATAATAGATTGTTCCGTTTTCAAATACTTTCTTAGTATAGGTAGGTTACATCACCAGCTTGCTTATTAGAGCAAATGTCGCTTGATAATACTGGCCATTAATAAAAATATGTGGCCACTTAAAATTCGAATTAAAATAAAAACAATTAAAAATAAGAATTGGAAGAAAAAGAACGCTGCGTATTGTTACTATTTCTAAACAAGAAAATTATTGAATTTATTTATTTAGAGTAATTATTTGTATTAGTACTTTATTTTTAATTTTAAGCATTGGAAGAATGTGTTTAAAACTTTCAGAAACAATTATTACGTGTTCCTTTTGTATATGTATGAATATGGAATAATGCAAAGGCACTATTCTATATTATTATTTGGACCTAACGTGGTACACTGTTAAGCAATGAGATTCAGTAATCTTCATTACGAACAACACGATTACCTAATGTACTGTTTTAATTTTGAAGCGGTCATTATTAATACGTGAAATTGGTAAAAATCACGGGATTATTATTAAAATGTACATTCTAGGCCACTATACTGTACTTCGGGACGTTCCTGAGCAAAGGTGAGTAAGTTTCAATAAATGAATGAAAAACTCTTTATTGTTCCTCTCACAGAAATATATAACAATTACATAAATTAATATATACATCAAATATATAAAAAAACATAATTACAATATAGAGGTAACAATGGGCGGCCTTATCGCTAAATAGCGATTTCTTCTTTATTACTTAGCTTATTTTGGGATGTTCAGAGTATGGAAGCCGCTCTATGGATGCATCTATTCTTCGGGTCACGTGACTGACGAAATGACGAACAACTTTATACTTTATTTTTATGTAATAAGCTGACTCCATGTGATGGTAAGTAGTAAGCATCACATAAAATACCATCCTGATCATCTGGATGAATCATGATGGCCAGTTATTCCTTCTTTCTTCCTGCGTTGCAGGTCTTTATGGCCCTGGGTAATCACTTACCATCAAGTGAGCTGCAGGCTCGTTTATCCCCTGTGCTATAAAAAAACCTATATACATGAACACAACTACTACTACCTACCTATGTAATTATATTAATTAACTAACTGTTCCCGCGAATTTAGCTTTATTTTCCTAAATTAAAAGTAGCCTAAGTTACTCCTTATTACATCAGCTACCTACCAAAAAAAGTCCCGTCAAAATCGGTCCAGCCATTTCAGAGATTAGCCGGAACAAACAGTCAGACAGACAGACAAAAATTAAAAAAAAAATTATTTTGGTGTATGTACCGTATTTACATTCATATGCATGTAGTAAAAAGCGGTTATTTCAATATTACAAATAGACACTCCAATTTTATTTATATGTATAGATTAAAATATTTTGTGGTGGTCATCTGACTCAAACGAGATGGTGTTGTAGTCACTGAAATCTGTTTTAGCGCGGCACGCTGGTGAACAGTTGCCGTTGATGATAATGTGACCAATATCACAGTAACTCGTGATACTTTGGTCCTCTAAAATGGCAACACTATATACAACAATACATGCAACCCTACCCCACTGAAAAAATAGGGTTGTATGTATTTTTAATGTCACATTATAAAAAAATAAATAGAGATTGTCCAAAAGATAAATTTAGGGTTGGACAACCCATATCATTTAGGGGTATGAAAAATAGTTAGTAGTCGATTCACAGACCTGCTGAATATGCTTATAAAATTTTATAAAAATCTGTCAAGCCGTTTCGGAGTATGGTAAGCAACATTATGTCACGACAATTTTACATCTTACTAATATTTTAAATGCGAAAGTTTGTGAGTATGGTACTCTTTCACGCAAACACTACTTAACGGATTTCGTTGAAACTTTACACTTATATTAACAAAATAACACAGGCTATAAATTTCATGCGGTTGAAACTGTGGTTTCAGCTATTATAAAATAATATATTGGTCTAAATCAAAGCTATAATTATTTAGTGATATCGGAGAACTGTCGGACAATAATGTTTCACAATATTGAAGAATTATTGAAATAGAGGTCTAGTTAATGGCCATAATATAATTAACCAGGCAGGCGAAACATCAATTTATAGCTTTTGAATTTATATGTGTTCTATAAAGGATACATTGTCTATGGAATACACAGAAATATATATGTAACATAGGTATTTTTCCGACTTCGAAAATAGATGGCTCTATTATATTAATACTATCGAGATGTGCTGTTGGCGCAAAATGTTAGGAATATCATGGACGGAGCGCCGCACTAATGCATCTGTTTTGGAACAACTGGGTATCAGAACCCGTCTCTCTACTGCTTCCAGGGTCTGCTAACTTTTTTCGGCCACGTGGCCCGCCGAAAACCAGATAATTTGGAAAAATTAATAATGTTAGGACACGTGGACGGTAGAAGGGGCAGAGGTAGGGCACCTGCACGTTGGACTGATCCTGTACGAGAAGCAATCAAACAAAATATACAGTCCAAATGGACTGTATATTTTGTTTGATTGCTTCTCGTAGCACAAGATAGAAATGCCTGAAGAATATTGGTTGGAAGGAGCATTCCCGGTGGTCACGACCCTCAGTATTGAGGAACTGACAAAGAAGAAGATTATAATAATATCTCTGGATAATTCATACGGGGACATCAAGTACTAAGCTAAGCAGAGCTTGTGTTATGGGAACTAGACGACTGATATAAATACTTAATACATGTTTTTTTTGTTCAATATTTGTTCATTTTATGTAGGTTTATGTGGAACAAATTTTAAAATTATTTTGTTCTCTATTTAATGTAAATAAATATAATTTTTTTAATCTTTAACTTTATGATTTAGTATCATAACATACTAATAGTGACTATCCTGACTTAGCATAGCACTCAGATTCTGGATTACATATGAATGAATGATGGTTTAAAGGCTGAGGAAGGCTGAAAAAGGATGGACTGTGTGAAAGAAAATATAACAAGGGAGTAAATAACGAGATGACTGCGAACAGGGATGAAGGCAAGAGTAAAACATATTACGTCGACTGTAAATTTTATTTTTTAATAGTAATATATTTATTTTTCTCCACAAAAACATACATAATACAAAGTGATGTAGAACCTTTAAGGCAAGTAAATTTCCATTCCAATGTATGGGAGAAAGAAACAGATGAGTTTCTGATTACCCCCCCCGAAAGGAAAATACCATGTAGATAAATTAAATGAACACACAAATCCATGTCAATTCACATGTCAAATATAAATTTGTAGAGCAGTAAGTAGGTTGATCGAATCAGGCATCGAGTAAAACCCACGATTTACGGCGAGCATCGAATAATTGATTATATCGATACGTAAGGGACTGAATAACTCATGTCAGAACACGGACATGTTCCAACAAGCGTTCATATATTATTGTATAATAGACACTAATATTATGAAGACGAAAGATTGTTGTATGTTTGTTAATGATTTTTTTTATAGCATAAGAGACAAATGGGTTGATGCTCACCTGATGGCAAGTGATTACCGTCGCTCATGAGCATCCGCAACATAGGGCACTTGAAGTGCGTTGCTGGACTTTTAAAAAGGAATACGCTCTTTTTTTAAGATTTCAATATCGTATAGGTTTGGAAAAACGAATAAAGTCAACTAAATAAACAGGATATTGAAGTCTTATATGCATGAAAATTTGTTTTTTTTTATGCCTACACCATTTGTGTTATGCGGAATGTAATGTAATGTAAGTTGAACTCTCATCTGGGCCGTTGTACGTGTAGAGCCAAGACTACTAAAGTAAGCCAAGCTTCTCCCAAAAGCGCAGATGTCTACTGGTGTCTTCACAAGCTTCAGGGAGCGATGTCACCGTTCCGAGGGTTTGTTTTCGTTGTGTGATCACTGCAAGCACTCCAGGATTACTTGAGCGGCCGTTTTTTCGGCTTCAAAGCAGCGCCAGATTGTGTACAGATGTTTGTTTAAGAGACAGTGGCCCGAAATTGTCCCTATCATTGTTTTGAAATACGCAGTTATGCGGGAATCAGGAAGTAGGTAAGTCAATGCGCTCAAACCACTAGACTACCGATGCTAAGAATTTAAAAGTCTATAAATAAAAATCATCCTAAAAAAGTAACCTACATTTTCATCAAGTTCATGTATCAGATACTCTCTATACCTATATCTGTTTTACTGAAAAATGAAAATAAATATGCGTATTTCATTCGAGATCTCTGTTTGAGATCAGGCAGTATGTAAACACGGTCGATGCTTCATAACGGTTAAGTGTTTTTGAAATACATTTTTGTTGCATTTATTCTTATTATTGGTTTAGTATTTTATTATTTTTAAAGAGTCATTGTTTTCATTTCACTCTGAAACAGTATTTCGCTACCTTTTTCGTTTCAAGTTACTTGCCCCTGGTGGCATGATAAACGGTATGGTAGAAATAGTATAGTAATGGTAAAAATAGTAGTAATAGTAATGGTAAAATAGAAGTAAGTAATAGTAGAGAAAGAGCTACCTAAACTTTGTACAGAGTAAAAATGTCTCGTTATAGTAGTTATATACTATTATACACTTTTGGCGGCCTCGGTGGTTTAGCGGTATAGGGCACCGCTTTTCTTCCGATGGTCGCGGGTTCGATTTCTCGCACTGGTACATTTGTATTCAAAAGTATGAATGTTTTTATCGATCTGGGTATTTTTTATGTATGTTATGTATGTATTTACAAAAGAATATATATCTAAGTATTGATATCAGTTGTCTAGTACCCA